AATCAGTTTGTCCAGTCTCTTCCTATCGGCTGCTGTAATGCTGCTGCTCCAGCATTGTATCCATCTCTGTGATAGAATATGGTGGAAAACTAAAAACTATGCATATATTTTGGTTAATTGAAACTTATTCTGTTCCTAAATCATGCTGATTGGAGGGTTTCGCCTGTCCTTTTGATCATGCTAAAGGAGTCTCTTTTATGTAATACACTACCCAGTCGATTAACTGCACAGCGACTGCTGTCAGATTAAATGACTTCACAAACATGTCAATAAATGCATTCTCTGTTATCTGTATTGTTGTTAGAATGTGTGAAAAGTTACAAATTGGTGCCTTGTGGTTTGTCCAGTCACAATATATTCAGTAGAGCAGATGGCAATGCTATCCCCATAAATGAAAATAAAATAGAGTTATTAATGGGGTGGAAATGATTGACAGGTAGAAAAAAAACTCATCTGGCCCTCCTAGTTACAGCTGTGGTTTGTGCCACTCAGAGCACTAATCCTCAAACTCGCTTTCAAAGACTGCTCATGGCCCACTGACACCAAGCAGGCAAACCAGATAATTACATCAAGATAGCTAAAAAAAAAAAGTAAAGTCATAGCTGCCAGAGTTGAGAGAGCTGAGATGTAAAACACTTCGGAGAATGAAAAGAAGGCCTAAACAGACGAATGTTTCCCAAAAAAAAACACATTTGAATTAGTGCCAAAAGCCCCAGTAGAACCTTTTGTCTTTGAAAACAATGAAAGCAGAATTTTGTAGATTTCTTGCTGACCTGCAGGGTCACAGTTTCAGTTAGAAATGTTTTACTATTTCATTTGCTGCAGATTGTAAGAACATAGTGACAGATAATAATGAATGAATAATAAAAAGCCCCAGGTGTAAATCTCCTGAGGTGAGTTTGCCCTTTTCACATTAGACACGATCCAATAGCTCCACTCTGAGTGTTTGTCAGCTCAGCTTATGCAGAGCAAATGTTGTGTGAATAAATGTAACTGTTAATGGGAAAAATGACAATCCAAACTCATTTTTCTGTCATTTGGGCCTGTTAAAGCACGGTCTGTGGTTTGTTGTTTCCCTTAAAGACTCATTATTTTGCATGACTAAATTCCTCTCAAAAACATTCATGTTCTATTGTTAGTTAGAGCCACTCATTTGTGAAGTTTAGAGATGTATTTTCACCTGCATGGTCAGGATCAAAGATACTTACATATTTTTATTTATTTATAGGTAACTGGTGATAAATTATCCACTCAGGCAGACTCACACTGGTAGAAGTGGATGCTCCTGTAGATACAACTGAACTTCCTGCTTTGACCACTTGATGTCAGTGTTGGCCAGGTGTCCTTTCAAGTCTAAATTGTTCATTTCAATCAAATCACTTTCAGTTCAACCTTTGGAACATCCACATTGTTATATTTTCCCTTATAAAAAAGAAATCTGTCAAGACCCATTAGGTGATATTTTTGTATCTTATCAAGTTACTAGATAATAACTTGTATCACTGACCTTTCTTTCATCTCTCTCTGCTTATTTCCTGTCCTTCGATAATATCCAAAAGTATTTTAAAATTCTGGTCATACTATCAATTAACTTAATGGATCCTTATATATTTTCACACATATTTTTCATGAATACATCTGTGATATTACTATAAGGCAATCGTAAAAATCAGCTTATTGCTATGACTACATCATCCCATAATCATCACATATCTGTCTAAATCATTAAAGTGTGTAGGATGAAGTTACAGACTACAACCAACTGACCAACCGCTACCCATCCAAGTACGTAGGAGAAACTACAGTGACCGTGAAACTCACAAAAAACTATCTATCTAGGGCCAGTGTTTGGTTTGGCCATTCTGAGCTACTGTAGAAACATGGCAGTTCAACATGGCGGACTCTGTAAAAAGACCTGTTCCCTCTGTAGATAAAAATTCTCATTCTAAAGTAACAATTTTTATTTTCAGGTGATTATACACTAATGAAAACATAGGTTACTTATGGATATTATAATCCATTTCTGCCAATAGATCCTCTTAATTGTTACACGCTGCACCTTTAACTCGTTCATTATGGGACGATTGTATCACAATAAGGTGATTTTACAGTACATGGGTGTAATAGTATCATTATGTGTAAAAATTATAAAGGAACTATTAAGAATAATGGATACTGTGACCAAGTATTTAAAAGTATTTTTACATATGTGATGCTTTCATTATCTCAAGAGAAGACGGTAAATAAGGAGAGAGATGAAACATAGACTACTGATACACCAATAGAGCACAGACAAATTTAAAGCAAATATTAACTACATTTATGGTTTAATCTTTAAAGCATTGGGTCTGAAAATGTAAAAGAAGTGACTGTGTCTGGACAGAATCCTTTTCTCTTGCCAAGGCTGTCTCCTTGAAGAGTCCGTTCCATTTCTCGTCATTATAAAGGATGCCAAACAAAAAGCTTTATGTGGCTCTTGCACCTCAGTGGTCACCTTTCCTGTTAGCGGGAGCTGAAAGGTTCTCTTTGAGAGGATTTGTTAGCACTTCAGTAACCTCACAGTGGGAGTATGCTCACTGGCCTTACCATAATAGCCTTTGTGAATGTGTGTGGTTTTGGCTGTGAACCCTCTTTGGCCTCAAACTGCTTCGCTCGCTAGCCCCACATTTTTTTGGTCAGGCAAAAAAGCAAAGTCATGTGGACCACCTCGCTTCAGTTATACGGGGACACAAACTGCTCCAGACCACATCCTCTCTAACGAGGCCTTGACACACAGCTGCATTATTAATATTCAAACAGCAGAAAGTACAGATGGCAGTGTGCATTATAGGATAACTAGTCACACTGAAAACTAATTTTCTACTTTTACCCTCTGAATAATTGAACTAGACTATTTAAAGTAGCCATTAAGTGTCACTCAGTAGGCCCTCATTACTGCTGAATTTAATTACGTGTCTTGTCTCATCTGTCCAGATAACCAGGTGCTGCAGTTTGGGAAGCTAGTGAGCACCTCCAACACCTATGAACCCGTTGCCCCTGGAAACCCCAGGAAGTCTGTAACCGTGACAACAGACCAGCCTCTCCTCTGGAGCATGGGTATCCGTAAGGATGGGGAATGACACAGAAGAAAGTCCTCTTCTCAATCAGTATTTGACTAATCAGAACATGTGACTACTTTTCTACAGCTGAGCTGTGGCAAACTCACTCGTTTTATGCTTCATACTTAAGAAAATTAAAAACTGAACTTTGGGTTCAGTACCATAGTGGCCATCCTTGCTAAGGATATTTTTTTTTTTTTTTTACACTTTACACATTTAGGTTTTATGCAATAATACTCACTGTACATGATCAGTCAAAATGAATATATGCATCTTATATCCAAGCCTTCTTCCATAGAAACAGTTCCCTTATTTAAAACACATTTTAATACTATGAGGAAAGGATTTAGAAGCAGAACTAGAGACATTACCATATCAACAGTACACCTTCCTTTAAATGTGTGCCGGTATCTGCTTTGTGTCACAGCCTACAGTATGTGCCTTTAACATCAGTGCTTCTGTTTCACTGTCCTCTTGTAGCTACCATGTTAACAATATCTCTACTATGGAAAAGTACTTTCCAAGTATTTGTGCCTTTTGATGAGTTTAATACTGTACTTGACTGAAAGTCAGAAAAGGTAAAAATCAGTCAGTGTTGGTTTCCATTTGTTTTATTTACACAGTGAAATATAAATGCACAGAATGTAAAAATGCCATCCCTCCAGTTCCCAATCACATCACCAGCCCAATAACACTTTGCACCAACGTCTCTTGTCCCGGGGTATTGAAGTTTGCGTTTTTGCTTGACCAGGAGTTAACCGCCACTAGGAAAAGGAAAACAAGAAAACCAGTGTTAGTGATTGAAGAAATTGTACATGGAGACATTTTACTGTCATATTCAGTATGAATATTAAGAAAGCTACACCCTAAAATACAATGATTGTGTATATCAGTACCACATGCTAGTGTTTTCCCCCATTGTAACACCATTTTCTTTCAAAAACAGACAATCCAACTTCTGCACTTTCAGATACTGTATATTCTGACTATTATGGCAACAGCCCGAATAATGGTATTTGAATGTTTTATCCTATTGCGCAAAAAATAAAATCACAAATGCTACCAGTGTGACTGCTCTTCTCTCATCATTTGTGCACTGATAAAAACTAACTATGCAATTCATTAATGAATGATAATGACTATGATTGAATCATGCCTATGAAGTAATGTGATAAATGTTCATTTCTGGTCCATCCATTAGTTAATGCTAATGTATCATTTATGTAATAAAACCAGCTGTCCTATGCTATATATAAAGAGTTTTTTAATGGTTAGTGCTGATGTTAATTATATACTTGTTGGTCACTGGAATTTGGTTTTGGTGCTTTCTGATAATTTATGCTAAGATTTAGTGTAGTTTGGGCTGTAAATCATTAGTGCTAACAATACATAAAATGAAGGGTCTCAAACGGGGATCTAAATGATACGAGTGGACAGACATAATGCCTTTCAGTAAATTTCTTAATTCAACTGTTATTTAACTTTGCAGTGAGTGAATAGAGACAATCAGGCAGTTGATTAGGCAAGGAGAGTGGGCAGGATCATCTCCCTTTCTGAGCAGTCATCAATGATATCAGTGAGCACACACACAATGTCTAATCAATTCAATCACTGTTCCTCTTAATTAAATGACAATATTTCAAGCATTGTCCTTAACGGATTATTTAAAACTTTATAGAAAAAAAAAAGGCAATCAGTCACCAATTGTATGACACAATCTAGCATGTAAATGAGCGATGTGTTTCTACTACTCACACAATGATGTTGTTGATGGGGATGTGGATGAGTTTGACGAAGAAACCAATGAAACCCATGATGGCAAACCCAATCGCTGTGGCCATGGCAATCTTCTGGAATTCTGAAGGAGAGCAGAAAGAAATGTCAAAATAAAGCAAAAATCAAATCATCTTGTTTAATAAAAATGAACAGTCATGCTTTTAGGGAGCCCAAAGGCCTTAGCCGGGCAGCTCAAGCTTTAAAGTGGGTATCTGGATTAAAAGGAAGGTTGAACAAAATGACAAGGATGAACCTACCTTTTCTGTCGGGTTTTGTGCATCTCTTTACGAGCCTTATGGAGTCCTTGACGAACTGCCGGCTGGGCTCAACAAACTGCATTACCTGATCCATGGTGTTGATTTAGGCTGTAGACAGCGAGACAACAACAGCAGCGTTAAAGCTGGGACTGCTCTCAGTGCTGACGTTGACTTCAGCAGCCTGAGCTTTTTATGACTCCCATAACTAGATAATGGTTTATATACCGTACAGCTTCGGTTTTTCCATACAATATTAATATGTGTATTCAATATACGTGTCCTCATCAATGAAAAGCATGTTCTGAAGTTAGTTTTCACTCATCCTTGCTAGTTAACGTTATCGCAAGAAAAGCTATGGAGGTCGACGGAATGATAGCTGGAAATCCAATATATAACACAAATACAAGTCCAAAAAAAGTCTCATAGCAGTGAGTAGGTTGCATGTAAGTAAACTATACGGTAACTTGTAATATAATAACACGCAGCTTACCTGTTTGTGTCGTTTGAGGAGAGAAGAGTCAGAGGACTGAGGGCCACGTCGCGTCCACACTGATGCGTAATGGAGAAGAGCTGACGTAGACTTAAGACGCGCATGCGTATGATCTTGTCTCTCTTTTTCGTTTGAGCTTGAAATATTGGTCACACTGCCACCTACAGGCCAGGAGGTTTCTTACACAGAGACAGGCTCTTTGTCTCAATTACAGCAATAGTAGCATGGGTAAACCAAGAGCCATACAGATATAAGATTATTATTATTATAAATATATGATATATATTTTTTTTTTCTATAAGGCTCTTGGTTAAGCCCATTTCTTTGTTAATTATATCTAGCTTTATTCCAACTCTTTTTACTTAGGCTGCTAATAGGAAAGCACTCAATACATGAATTGCACTCTTGTTCTACTGTATGTTTGTGTCAAAGTTTGGGCAGCTGAGGGATACAAATCCAGGTTATCTGTCCTAATAACAAATGTTTGTATTGTATTATGTAATACAATGTGTTGAAGCAAGTACAGATGCAGCTACTTAGAATTACCAGCTGGTCCGTGACAGGTAGTTGCTTATCAGCTGGCAGCCAGCTTGGGGTGACAATATGGTTGATAAGGCCTACTGTAGAAATATTGTACTGTTTTTTTTAAATAGAGTACATTTCTGGAAACAGGACTAATGGGATTTGGTTATGAAGTTACTGTTATTTGGTGAGTGTGATAATATATCTGAATCCTACCACACACATTGCTTTGAGGGAGCATTGGTCCTAGACTCCTTGTAGCCACTCCTCTGGCTCATGCCACATTCCTTAATTCCTTAAATACTCCCTCATGTGATTTAGATTAAGATGCAGTTTCTAACTAGTATTGTGGCATTTACTCCTGATCTTTGTTCTCCATTATACTGATTATATGGTGTGTAAACCTCCACGCTAACATTAATACACACGTCCAGCAAAAGACAAGTACATGTTCTACAGTCCACTGCATACTAAACACTACTTTGCATTAATTATTGGGACCTCAATCAATTAGTAAAACACTTAATAATGCTAAACAGTACTATGGTATGGGCAGATGGATTCTAACATTACTTTTTTACATTTGTCACTTTAATAAAGAGTAAGTCATCCAGTCCAGTCATCTGCTTGGGTGGCAGTGGCTAAGACTTTAAGACTCTCAATTCTGTCATTATTAATACCCTAAACATACCTAATCTCTTAACTCTCAAAGGGGAAATTCATCCCAGTATCACATGGTACTGCATCTGAAAAGGTCAACCCAACAGCTTGAGAAATGTTCACTCACTAATACACTCATAACTCAGTAACATTTAAGTCACAAACAAGCAGAACTGCAAAATGTTTGCCAGTGTAACAGGTTTATTTTTTACATTATGTACATATTCCCAATTTGAGAGACTTTGCTGAAGCCTCAACATGCTGACACATTGTAACCATATAACGATTGCTATCATAATGTAGAAATATTATGGTTACAGTGTACTGAGGTAACTGCATTACCCTAGTACAACCACATCACAGAGGAGTATAGGCCTAAAGTTTTCCTTCCTTAGCTAACAGGGAGTTATCTGAAGCTGCAGACTGCATGATACACGGCAGTTCAATGACAAAGTTTAGACCAATTGCTCATTACTGATCAATAAATGTACATTCTGATGTGTGTGTGCTCCAAAAGCAGACAGTAACAGTGCAAACAGTACACACTTCAAATTAACTGTCATCTAAGTGCTTTAACTGTCAACCACAATACTGTATGTGTGCCCCGATGTAGGCATTTCATTCAAACGTTTCTTTGAAATGGGCTTTTTGCCAAAAACTATACCGCTGCCACACTAGTACTTGTATGAGAATCTTTCATAAACCAGGTAATTTTCATCCAAAGCAAGAAGACCATGCTCGCAGCTAACAAGATAAAAGAGCATCTGCACTCAAGATACAAATATGACTAAACAAATAATGCCCACACCAGTTAGTACAGTATAAAGTACTGCTTCAACATATCTTAAATTCTACAAAAAGTATTGAAAATAATTGGACTATCATTGAATGCTAACAAGCAGTATGAAATATGGGTTAAACACCATGCAATCTGATAAATACAATTTGACTAAAACATAGCATTTGTTTTTGATATATTTTTTTAAAATAAACAAGCTCTTGGTAGCAATATCTACTGTACTTTGAGTCATAAAATACATCTTTTTCACAACAGTAACAGCAAAAATGAATGCCTCTATAAAAGTTGTCCTTCACTGCACACATTTAATTTGCCACTATTCACTGCCAGGTGATATCAAGCATGTTGCAGCTGATCTCCCACAGTTTTTGGGCCAAGTCATCATCGGAAGCAGCCCTTGAGCACCTTGCAGGAGCGCAGTCACTGTGTGTACAAAGGGACAGAAAAAGGCCATTACGCATTGTGTGCTGCATTTGTTTGAGTGTTCAATAAGAATAAAAATAGTTGACTCTCAGCTACATACAGTAAATCCTTTTGTTAGTCAGCAGGTAGTAATACTGAACAGCATGAAACTGGCCCTCTAAAAGCTCTTGTATAACCAATTGCAAGTTGCTTGGAATACTGTGTACCTGAAGTACCCTCCACTCTGGCTGTCCAGGCGTGGCTCCACAGCACAGTAGATGGTGGTCTGCGCTCCTTCTACCGTAGTCTTGGTGAAAATCCTGAAGATCTTCACTGCCACCTGGATACATTGGTGCTGATGCCTCCACAGGTCAGACTGCACCACCCCGGGGTGCAGTGAGAACACGCTCACCCCTGTACCTGCAACAGATATACAGGCACCTCCACAGTTACTTACACAGTCACCTATACATACACTGTATACTCAAGTTAACACATGCAAACAAGTAAGATGGTATTGCCATCTGCATACTCTGCTATGATTTGCATACAATACCCACACATTTCTGTGCATAATATGCTCTTTTTTATTTTTTTTAAAAGTTAAGTGAATCAACTATTAAACTACTTGATTGTCATATTCAAGTCATTTCCTTTGCGTTCTTGGCCATTAAGTAAAAGAACAAGAGACAACAGATAGAGATGGAAAAATAGTTCATTTCCAGTGAAAATCTGATTCATAAGTAATTACTGTACTTTCTCAGAGGGAGAAAAGATAATTAAATAAGGACGGACACTTAGGCAAGCTATCCAGTGTGAAAGTAATGGTAAGTATGGACTT